TCATTTTCATAAGTGCAAGATAGCTCGAATCATTCGTTAGATGTCCCTTTTTCTTTTAGATTTTCTTAATCTTTCCATGTCATCCATGATGATGAAGATCCACGCGCCAAGGACGTGTTGCTGGACTTGTAAACATGTCGCAAAGGTGAAAGGTTCTGCCCGTTTCTATTTTTTGAAAATCACAATACAAACATAAACACTCGCACATACACATCACATTGATTCAGAGGACGGAGATGATCCTCCTTTTGTAAAAAAAAAATCATAGACACACATACGTTCACCTCTCTATGTACACGTGTGTGCAAACACATTATATCCCTATGATCACCTTTGAATAACTGAGTTGGTATGTCGTGAGATTGACAAAGTCACCATGATCGTCTCATAATCGACGGAAATGACATCTGCAACTGAACAATCATAACCAGAAATATTGAAATAAGTTGAAGAAAATGCGAGCACCTGGGAAAAATCTATAACTAGAATCCGGATGGACTGACTCCATCATAGGGAACCTAAGCATTTAAGCTACACTTATTCGCACCTTGTTCCTAATCTAATATGGTAAAGAGTAACCCTAGCTTCTTTTTTACCGAGAGTAAACTGGCGTCGGCACATTATCAAGATAAAGCAAGATGAGCACCTCCCGGTCCGACTCCCGCCAGAGTTGTGACGACGTGCATGGGTGGTAGCTGGGATGTTGTGGCAGCATCTAAAATGACACGGGCACGACGAGCAGTACATTCGGGTTGACATGGCTGAAGCGGGCAACATGTTGTACTAACATGATGTTCGATAAATAGATCAAAAGTTTTTCCCACAAAAAAAATCCATCAATTGGTTGCATTATTGATTATCATACTGCCATGAGTGCATTACATAAGAAATTGGGAGATGACCTGAGCATCCATAAAAAGAAATTAAGATGATCATCGTTGGGCCTCAGTGTTATAGGGCCCGGTAAAGGGACACAATGACGTAGTTAAATCCGGCAGATCACGGGTCGGAGGTCCCGAACTAAGGGCATCGGGACGATGATAACAAGGACATGAGTTTTTATCCAGGTTCGAGCTCTCTGGAGAGATAAAACCCCACATTATGCTTGTATTTTATTGTTTTTACTGGAGTAGAAAGTACAATCGATCTACCCTGAGATTGTTGTGTGTCCTCTGTGAGCCCTACCCCTCGGTTTATATAGATAACCAAGGAGGGCTAGGGTTACTTCCGAGTCAGCTATGTACAAAAAGAACGAGTTGTAGACGGCTTCAAATATCTTGAAGTATACGACAAGTCTTCGAAAACCTTCCTTTGATATGTCATGGGCCGTTTCGAAGTGGCTCACCGGTGAACCGACATTGGGCTCCTCATCCCGGCCTACCAAACCGAGAGACGACGTGGTGAGAGACCCCCAGCCGGGACACTGTCACACATAGTTTCTACTCGCGAGCTCAAATGCTCCCTCATGAACAGTAAAAATCAAACAAGAGGTGAAAGTAAATAAGTAAATCTATTTTTTAATAAACATTGGCAAATTGTCTATATACGCACAATTTTTTATGAAGAAAAAACGTTCCTAAATGCTCCGGGAAAGGAACAAAAGCGATGCTCCAAAAATAATATTTTGAAGGTATGTGGAGCATTATTATTTTCAGAACATTAGGAAGGTTTTTTCACAGAAATTCGCACATATATAAAATTCATTATTTTTACTATTTTATTTTACTGTTCGTTTTAATATTACAAGTGTAAAGAGTAAAGAGTAAACCTAGGTTTGATTTTTTTTATGTATTTTACGGTGTCTGAAGAGTGCCGCGTACTCCTATCTTTTCTTTTCTTTTCTTTGGAACGACTGCTCGTGTCGTGTGTATGATTAAGATGCGCACGCGTGGGTTGCTTCTCATGGCGAAACTGCAGACGAGTGTGCACACGTAGGCACCATGACGAAGTTGGAGAGCCATTCGTCGGGAACCACTGGTGGGCACGAGGAACAAGCGTGTGTTGTCGACCCGACCATGAAGTTCTGCCAAGGCCCAGCTATGCCGTTGGCGTACCACCCCACTACACCATGACAAGACTGACAATTCCCAGCGCATCCGAATCGACCGGCTGATGTTTCGGGCATATCTTTGAAAGTTCAACACCTACAAACAAATCGAGCGGCAATGGCAATGGCAATGAGCAGTGCCAGTGCAAGGCAGTTCTCGCTGGGTCGCGGCGCTTCACACCTGCAGCACGTACGTACAACGGTACAAGGGACAGGTCTCGTGAGCAGGATGGGTGGTGGAGTCGGTCGCCGTCCCGTCTTGAAAAAAAGGCAGCGCCTTTTTCTAGCTCTCTCAATGGTTTTCCGGCCGCTGGCCATTCTTTCTGGGGATCATATAAGCGTCGGCTTCCGGGGCTTCTTTTCTTCCGAGGCACTCGTCCAGACCAGCCGCGGAAGCACCCACCGCTCACCCACCAAGCAAAGAAACACACGCGCAAGCGCGCAACGACTGCCTGCCCCGGGCGCTCGCGGTGGTGACCATGGACGCGCCGAGCGCCACCGCCAAGCGCAAGCGCTCCTCCCCCGCCGCCGCCGCGCCGGCCCCCGTCAGCGTGGACGACGTATCCGACGCAGAGGTCGAGGAGTTCTACGCCATCCTGCGCCGCATGCGCGACGCCTCGCGCCGGCTCGTCTCCGGCGGGGTCGCCGCGGCCACGGCCCGCGCCGCCCCGGCCCCGCGCGCGCCGGCCTGGTGCCCCAGCTTCTCCTGGGAGGACTTCGCGCCGCCCGCCCCGACACCGCCGCCTGCTCCTTCGCAGCAGGAGCAGCTGCTGCCCGCCGACGAGCGCGTGGCCGAGAACGCGTCCCCGCCGCGGCGGCCCGTCCCCCGCGGCCTGGACCTCAACGCCGAGCCGGAGCCGGAGGTGCAAGCCTAGAGTAGAGCCGCAACCCGCACGGACGACGAGGACCCCTGGCCTGGGCGCGCCCCCGCACGGACGGACGCGCGCGCGCGCTGGCCGGCGGCGACACTCTCCCCTCTGTACCACCACCCGCCGCCCGGCGGCCGGTGCTTTTTAGCAAACTGATCACCGTCATCATTTGTTAGTTACCTTACCAGTGGTAATTCGGTATGTTTAAACCAACACTGCTACTACCAGTACTCTAGTACGACTACTTACTTCAATTTCTTCAGAGACGTACGTGCACATGGAAGGGTTACTGCTGTACCATTGTTTCATTATTGGTGCCTGCTTAACTTGAACGATTTTCTCTAGGCTTGTGTGATTTCTGAATTTTCCTTCTCTTTTGAGACTGAGTTAGTAGGAGTTTTTTTAATATTAAATATATATTTAAAAAAATTGTAATACTCTCTTGGATACATGTTATAAGCTGCGGGGCAGTAGTTTTTATCCGGAGGCTCAATGCTATATGCAAGTTAATCTGCGGTCCAATCTTTCTGAATAGTCGACAGCGACCTAAAACAATACCCTGAAAAATACAGAACACGAAAATACATTGACGAAGACAAGTTTGGTGGTCATCTTTATTTATTGATATGTCCATATCATTTCTATATAATGTGTGCTTGCTTCATTTGGACGGCTTTAACCACAGCCCTGCTAGCTACTGCCAGGTCTGAGATTGGTGTCTGCGTCCTCAAGGAATCATTTACGCGTTTTCCTTCTCTTTCCACAGTAATAATTTATTTTTCTGATGAGTAATTGACCAATACTCGGCGTAAGACTGGAATCGGTGCAGTGTTTTGTCACCAAAATAAAATAAATGCTCTGTCTGCAAGTTAAGGAAACTGTACAGTTAATTTGCAGTGTGAAAAGCGCAGCGCGGTAAATCAGAGTCAAAAAAGACTGCTAGGAGTACCATGTTCTCACCCTGTTTTCTGTAGGACAAGAAAGTGGAGTGCAGTCATGTTTTCCCTTTATATTTGTTGATTGATGGGTCGATCCCTATACACTATGAGTAAACAGGAGTAGAAATTTGCATGTCTAATCACGCGAGAAAGATCAAACCTCATAGTCTAACCTCTAAATATTGTACTGTACCACGATCTCTCTAAAAACAAAGAAGATTGTAGCACGATCCTTTCAGTTTGGTCTGCTGACCGTGGAGTCGCCTTCTGAATGCGTCACACGCACCATGACAGCATGACCTAATAACCACTCGGGCCATGCCATTATTCTACCCGGTCAGGAAAACTGCTCGCTTTATACGTTCCGCGACGACTACGTACAGTCCAGTAATAGTAATAATAAAGATACAGACACAAGGTATCAACTATGTACAGTCCAGTAATAGTAATAATAAAGATACAGACACAAGGTGACAAAATTTTGTGTTTTGACTCTTTTTTGAAACTTATTCGAGAACTGACCCTAGGTTGAAATTTTTTCGAGATCTGACCCTTTTGCTACCGTCAGAGTGCATGGCGGTAGGGTCTAACAACCTACCGCCAGGGACTTTGACGGTAGGAAATTTCTGTACCGCCAAACGGGCTGGCGGTAGCCTGCACAACCCTACCGCCAAGATGTTTGGCGGTAGGCACGAGCACGCACTGTATTCAATACTTAGGAGGTTTTTGACGGTAGGACATGCAACCCTGCCGCCAGGGTCCTTGGCCATAGGCTGTTATACCCTACCGTCATGGTCCCTTGCGGTAGGAAAAAGGTCAGATCTCGATTTTTTTTCAAACTAGAATCAGATCTCAAATAGATTTGGAAAATGGGTCAAAACACGAAATTTAGCCACACAAGGTATCAATCATATACTGGTGACCCGACGCTAGTGCTGCAACTTTCATCCTTGGCCGCCCGTCCGTCGAGCGGCCAGCATCTCTCCGTCGTACTGCAAAATGAGGTGAGAATGTATTCCACTTGTCCCACTGTGAGGAGAAACCAGTTTCGTCAAAAGATAAAAAAGGGTTAAAGGTTAAAGGACCTAGCTAGCTTGCCCCTTGGGCTTGGGTGAAGGTTGCAAGCAACTTAATTAGGCCATAGCCTCGTAGATACTTTATATGTTAGAGTTAGGCCGAGAAATCAACTTTGTACAGTACTAGAGGAAATCAGTGGGGGGAAAGCTATCAAGAAGTTGAGCACATTTCCATGATAGAAGAATCTTGTTGTAGGCACGTAGGACCTAGTACTAGCATGCACTCCCTCCGTTTTCTAAATTTAAATCCTTTTAAAGATTCAATATGAAATACATACGAATCAAAATAAGTAAAGCTATACTCTAAAATATATAGATATATTGAAATATGAAGAAAGATTTATATTTATAAACAGAGAGTAGTAGCAGAGGATAGATCAAGACTTTGCACGGTGCCAAACACTCTACAGTCAAGTCAAGCTAAATACTTAGACCCTGTTTGATTCCAAATAAGTCACCAACTTATAAGTCGAAAAGTGCAAAAAATGACTTATTTTGTCAAACGGACCCAACTTATAAGTCACCCCAACTTATAAGTCATAAGTTGCTTCACCCCAACTTAAAATTTATAAGTCACCCCTTTTTGCATGGGTCCCACCATCTTTACATAAAAAAACAAGGTGGGAAGATGTGCTCAGATGTGGCCGGCGTACTAGCGGCGCATGTGGCGCCTGGCCTGGGCTGGCCGGACGGATGTACTCGTCCGGACTGGCGACGGAGCAGGCGAGATACACGCTCGACGGGTCCCCGTCGGTCGCGGACACGGAGAATGACGTTTTCGGTGCGGGGCTGGCGATTCTCGCGTTTGCGGATTTTGGGTTTTGGATTTTGGGGCATGGGCGTCAGTCGTGTCCCCGTGAGCGTCGTCACGCCACCGTCAGGCCCGCGACTGGCCTTTAGGCTGGTTATAGTGGGAGTAACTTAGACTAGCGTCATATGTATGACATTAGCCTAAGTTACTATTCCTATAGTGCAAAGTATCTTAGTAGTAGTGTCATAGTTTGTTTCATTTATTGTCTTATAGACTCATTTTACCTCGGGAAGCGCTATGTTACAGTAATATATTATGTTACTCCAAGCACCTCTCTTCTCATTAAATACTTGCCATATAAGCAAAATTGTCGTGGGATGTGTTAAGTTACTACCTAAGTTACCCCCACTATCGCTAGCCTTAGAAAAGGCGAACGGTTTCCTCCGGGCGACCGGCCGCGTTTTGCATCGGTTGCGTGATCTAATGCAATCCAGCATCCTGCTTCCACTAACGTTGCGCCTTATTATTATCTTCTTTTCCCCTCTCTCTCACTCATGACATCTACAGCCGCTAACAGCAAATCCAACCCCTCAAATGCCCACGGGTACGCTCGTTCGTGGACAGTGACCGGCCAGGCCATAAATTTGCTCATCTGCATTCGGATACTTCATACTAAAAACCTCAAATTGACACAAAGCATGCAAAACGATGAAATCCACACATTATGTAGATCAAATAACCTATACTACCCCAATCCTCGTCGGAGATGTCCACTATCTTCGTGCCAGGCTCCAGGTACATGGATGGTAGTCGCAACTCCGACTCCTCCGTGTCGGCCTACGCATCGATCTCCGCTTCGACCTCGTCGAAGAGCGCGTCGGTCGCTGCTTTGTTCCTGTTGGATGAACTAATGGTTGGCCTCCACATAGGCCTCATCCTGGATGGACTCGGGATGGCCTGTTGCTCCGCCATCTCGGCCACTTAGGCGACCGCAAACTCCGCCCTCAAGCCCTTCATGTTGAAGCCCGAAACCGGTGCCAGCTCCTACTCAGGCTGCTCTGCCTCGTCCTCTTTCAGATCTTCCACCTCCATCCATAGTTTAAAAAACTGAACCTGAAATTGAACCGGAAAGGTTGTCGGTTCAGGTTTTTACCGGTCGGACCGCCGGTTCACCGATTCAATTGTCGGTTTTTAAGGAAGAAAAAAAATATATGTTGAATAGTATATGTGCTGATATAGTGTGAAACAATGTTCAAATAAAACAATGTTCACCCAGATCTCTGATCTGGAACCGGCGCTCCGATGTGAGCATAGCATATGTAGTTGTCTTTTGCCGAACCATGGCGAAGCCGGAGGGCATGGGAAGAGCAGCGAAGCGAGAGAGAGGTGGATGGGCTCGGGCTGGCGGCATGGAGAGGAAGGAGGTGGATATTGCTACGGTTCGGGGACACCGACCGGCATAAATATCCGAATTTAGTCTCGGGCGGCGAGCCGGAGCAGTGCCACGCGGCATTCACACCCCCACCGGAGGAGATGTCCGTCAAACAGTCGGGTTTCCGGGCGATTCTGCGTGGGACCACATCGTCAGTCCTACGTGGCGGACGCGCCCGGGAATCCCCATATTCACTTTATATTTGGGCTGGATATGAGGGGTGCCGACCAGCCTCTGCGTTTGAGGCCCGTTAGAGGAGCAGGTCTGGGTCGCATTTTCGTGGTCGGTTAGTTATGTTTGAGGCGGGTTTAGGGCACCCGGCCGTAGATGCTCTCATAGCTTCTTGTTTTCTTCGACTTTTTTCTTTGTCCACCGTCTCAAACCGCAACGAGATCTTAGATCCCAATGGCCATGTTCCCTTGTCTGACGCCGTGTTGAGCCCGCAACCAACCGCTTCCTCCGGTAGCCTCCCACCCGCGTAAGGTGGTGAGAGCCTTCTCTCCCCGCAGAACATGATGACCTGCCCATCCCTCTTTTTCCCACAAGTTGTGATGTCGATGCTGCGAGCCTCCGCTGTCTGCCTTGTGACCGCGGGACCGACGTGAGAGCACGAACTGCAGTCCTACAATTGGCTCAACGAAGTTGGAGCCGGCGACATTAGTTGGAACCCGGTGCGGGAATACTGAAACCATCCATTAGAAGTGTTGGAGGCGGGATGCTCCATGGCACACACGACAAGCTACAACCGGCGTCGACAGCGATGAAGATTTGCCGCGACCGTCGTGGCATTTTTGTTACGACCGATGAGA